GAGGATGTAAGGCACCACATGACCTCCTGTAGTTTGGGTGCATCAGTTGGACTAGAACTGTTGCATCTGAGACATCTGGACGCGGCTTTCTTTAGATGGAGAGTAAGGGCTTTTCTTTTTGCTTTTAGTTATTTTATGCTATCAGTGTTTTCACATTTACCATAAAATAGCTGCCTTAATTCATCTCTTATTACCTAGTCATACACTTTCAAAAAGCTATATGGTTTCACCTTAACATGCTATATCCAAACAAAAGGAATACTGCCAATACAAAAAAGAAAGTAATTCTTCCTCTCCTTAATCTATCATGTTTCAACTTAATCCTACACCAATACACTTGCCTTTTCCCACACCAAAATAAGGCTTTGCTTACAAATCTTTCAACATTCCCTTTACTGGAAGTGTTTTGTGAAAGGCTTTTATCCCCCGTCATTAAATTTTCTTCAGCCTGATCCCAGCCTTCCTTTCATCAACATGCAGTTCTTGTCCTTTATGTAATTACTCCATCATTTATATTTTTGAGCTATTCACTGCTTTAGTTTCAAACTACGATCTTGTTTATCTTTTCCCTACAGACAGATGGCATCAATTTCTCAAAAAACCAAAAACTCTATGCTTGAATGTAAAATTGGCTCATTAAAAAACAGGGTAGTAGGCACACTCACCTCTCAACCATTTATGGATAGTTTGGGGTTTTTTTCCCCATCAAACAGTGAAAAAAACAAAGCCTCTCAGCCTTTCACTTTTCATAAAGCCTTTAAATTGTGAACTTCTGCATGACCAAAACAAATGACATAACACTTTTCAGGGTGATTGATGAGCTCCTACAGTCATCCCTTATGCTATCTACCCAGTCTTCAGTAACCAGCATGTAAGACTGCTGATAGCCATCTTTTAAGAATGCCTCAAATTCCTATACTGCACTAGGGCATGTGGTTTCTGCCTAGCAGTCACTGGCAAGATGCTGCCTCAGGAACTAGATCACTCTTTATTCTTATCAACAGTGCTCAGCATATTCCTTTGCCCAACACTTGGCTCTCACATGTCTCCCAATTGGTAAACTAGTCCCAAGGATGTCTCCAGACAAAAATTGGTCTCCACTTGGCCTGTGCCCTTGCTTTTCCTTCTCAGAGATATAAGGCAGTTTACATCCAAATTCATTTTTAAGGAAAGCTTTCATGAAGCTAAAATTAAACGGACATAGTCCGATTTTAAAATATTTCCACGTAGTTTTTGCATCTTCAATAATGTAGCAGGATGTTAACGTAAGACAGCAAAAACTGAAAGTTATTTATTCTGTAACTAGTTCTACACCTTGGAAAGTAAAGTACCACCTGTGCGGGATTCTCATTCTTAAATCTTTACAACTCTCATCTCCAGTTTATTAATCACTGAGGGCAGTAGTAACGAGAAAGACGGCACAAGCTAGGCCCCCAGCACATTATACAATGTTAGCGATGCCTTGTTGAGATCCTTTACCTATTTGCAATATTGTCTTTTGGCCTCACACAGTTAGATTCTTTTCAAACTCCAGAGGTCATTGCCTTGAGTGCTTGGTATGCTTTAGTCATACTTGCTTTTGGCAGCTACTGATCTTGGCATTCCAAGTTTGTATGGCTCAACACTTAACTAATGTGCTAGCAGTTATCCAGTTACACAAATTAACTCTGCTGGGTAACACCACAATCTTACCATGGTACATCAATGCCTATTTTATTCCTATAAGCTAGCATCTGTGCATGCACACTTTGTTGGTGAAGTTTATTTTTGTTAAATGTAGTGTTTGTCCTGATGCCGCAGGGGATTTTTTTTTTTTTTTAATCAGGTAAGACTATTCAATAGCTTCATATCCCTGGCTCGTGTCACAGGACTATGCCCAAAATCAAGTCAATTCAATAACTGAAGAATGCCACTGTGTGTGTACACATGAGCACATGAGTTCAGAAGAGCTAGGGTGCCATCCTGATCATAGAATCAGAAGTAGGGTCAGAAGGGACCTTGTAGATCTTCAAGTCCGACCCCCCGCCTGAGCGAGAGAAAAGACTGGACTCAAATGAGGCCAGCCAGGTAATCATCAAGCCTCTTCTTAAAGATCGCCAGGGTAGGAGCCAGCACCACTTCCCTAGGAAGATGGTTCCAGCTCCTAGCCGCCCTAACTGTGAAGTAGTTCTTGCGGATGTCTAATCTAAATCTACTCTCTAATAATTTGTGTCCATTGTTCCTTGTCATGCCAGGGGGCGCTAGGGGAAACAGTGTCTCCCCTAAACCCTTCTGGTCCCCCCAGTGAGTTTATAGACAGTCACCAGGTCCCCCCTCAGCCTTCTCTTGTGAAGGCTGAACAGGTTCAGGTCCCGCCGTCTTTCAATGTAGGGTCTGCCCTGTTGTCCACAGATCATGCGGGTGGCCCTCCTCTGGACCCTTTCAGTGTTGTCCACATCCCTCCTAAAATGGGGCGCACAGAACTGGACGCAGTACTCCAGCTGTGGCCTGACCAGCATCGCGTAGAGGGGGAGGATCACCTCCCTGGCTCTACTTGAGATGCACCTGTGGATGCACGACAAGGTCCGGTTAGCCCTGCCAACCATGACCTCGCATTGTCGGCCCATGTTCATCTTGGAGTCAACAATGACTCCAAGATCCCTTTCTGCCTCCGTGCTCTCAAGAAGGGAGTTTCCCATTCTATAAGTGTGCTGCTGGTTTCTACTGTATAAGTGCAGCACCCTGCACTTGTCAGTATTGAAACGCATCCTGTTTATGTCAGCCCACTCCTGTAACCTATCCAGGTCTTGTTGCAGTCTTTCCCTCCCTACTAGCGTGCTCACCTCACCCCAGATTTTGGTATCATCAGTGAATTTAAACAGGGTGCTTTTCACCCCGTCATCCAAATCGCTGATGAAGAAATTGAACAGTGCAGGCCCCAGGACCGAGCCCTGGGGGACTCCGCTGCCCACTTCCCCCCAGGTCGAATGTGACCCATCCACCACCACCCTCTGAGTACGACCATTCAGCCAATCTGCAGTCCATCTGATAGTTACCTTGGATTAACAAAACCGCAATTTAAACCTAAACATTAGTGTGCAGCTACTAATTTTAAATGTTAAACTGTGCTGCTTGAAGCCTGACCTTAGAGTCAGCCTCAACTTGTTACGAACGAAACAAACCCCACAAACTTCTTACTGAAACACTAAATAAGTTGCCCTTCTATCAGACCTAGTACAAACACTGACACCAACTGATACATTACTGAACTGTTCACGTTGCTCCTTAGGGCCATTACAACTCTATAGCTTCAAGTTATTCACAGGCAAATATCATGGAAGTATTGGCATAGACAACGTTCAAAGATCACTCAGAAATGCTCCACACAGCAAGCACAGATGGTCAAATCTCTCTGTAGCTCTCAGAAGAATCTTCCGAAAATGCAGATAAGGCCACAAAATATGAATTCCACACCTCATTGAAAGTTAATATTTCAACTAATGGATTGTAGGATTTATTTTACAAGAAGGAATATACATTGTCCCCTGTATAGTGTTTCTCAGCTGCTTCAGAAAGGTAAAAATAGATAGTGAACATTACTCAATTACTTACCTCAGGTCTGAGGGAGGGAAGGATAACAATTTCTTGCAGTGCCTGCTTAGCCAGCTCCTGCCCAGCAATATCATCAAATTTGACAGTTGGCCCACTAACAAAGAAACGGAATATCAATTAGTCTAACAATAGGACACTATTTTCTTGGACTGCAGCTGACTAATTTAGTGCATTTAACTGCTTATAAAGAACCATTTTGAAGCTAGCTACAATTCACAGTTCTGCACAATATGCTATAGAAGCATTATGTCACTCTTAAAAAAGGATGAAAATTAAACATTTCAATGATTTATCTAATGCAAAAAATTTACAAACATGGGTGTGCATTCTTTCCATAAAAGGAATAAGATTAGCTTCTTATTTAAAATATATCTTAAGAAGCTACATTTCTGAACAAAGTACATTTTTGTGCATTTGATTTACCTGTCAACAATTTCATTCAGAATAAGATTTGCAAGATTGCTGTCCACATTTCTAAAAATCTTCAAGTCTTTCTTTTTTCGAGCAGCCGTTGTAGGAGTAGAAGGCTTATTAGTTCTGCTATTTTTTGGCGTAACCTTAAGAAAACACAATCACTTCAAAAAGTAATACAATTAAAAAACATATGTAATAGGATTGTTTGTACATCACAAATCAAGTTCTAAAATTTAGGATTAAAAAAGTGTTAAAAATTGCCACGTTTGACTATAGTAGTTTGTCACAGGCCACACTCACTATGCTAGAGCATTTCAGCCTTCAGCTGGAAGTTTTTTCAGAAGTTTAATACTAGTGCTGTTACGATATGAAGATTAGTCCGTTCACTTTCCATACATTGACTGATATTTTTCCAGAGAGCATTCATAAAGACTTTGAACTACTGCCAGTTTTGAGATTTTCAGTCTTTTACTAGTGAAGCTACTTCTGTAACGCTTGGTAATGGAACCCCTTTTTTTCACTTCAGGCCATGCCAGTCATTCTAACAGTTTTCTATCTATTGTCCAGTCTAATTATTTTCTAATTTTTTTCCTACACCAATTGTTTGATGTTTAGGGTAGATGTTCTGTCCTACAGGGGAAGACTTTTTATTACCATCCTTCAAAAGGAAGTGGAACAAAGCAATTTTCACATTTTATGAGGAACATATGAAGTATATTCCAGCACCAACTTAACTGTCAGGTAAAGGAGTGAGTTTTGTTTTTCATTTTTTTTCTTTTTCTTTTTTAATTTCACTTTGGAACCAAGCCCATGCATAGGAAGTTTCAGACATATAATTTAGCATTTAAAAACAAAGTTAAGTGACAAATATGTTGACAGCATTCATATCCTAGATTTCAACCTTGTGGTTATGAGACTGTAAGAAATTAAACTAAAACCACAATTTGCCACAAGTTTTATACAAAGCATCCACTGACTGCTAATATTTTTGTCCCTGGCATACCTTGTGTGTTGAGGTTGCAGGATTAGTTCCTTGTCTAGATACGGTTGATATCGCACTGTAACTAGGAGTTCTATGGTGACCTGAAAGACCTGTGGGTCCAGTTTTTGCAACGGTTTTTGAACGAGGAAGAGAGTTACTTGTGTGTGCTAATGGATCCTTCTTTTTTGGAACTGCTCCACTTTCTATAAAAGGAAAAACCAATGCCATCATGAGACTATATTAAATGACCAATATCCTATTAGCATAAAAAGTGTACCTTCAAGGCATTTATTCTAACTTTGTTGGCTACAAGCTGAGACTTATTTTTAAAAATGGTCAAACCCTAATGTTTTAATGATGCCATAAAAAAAAAATATTATTCTGCTTAATTAGCCTTTTTTTTTTAAAAGAAAAAACAGCTAACAGATCTCAAGCAAACCTCTTTTTTTAATAATGTTTATAAACAAATGTTGAATTAAGTCTCATAATGGAAAGAGCCATCTTGCATTACTTACAGTGGAGTATTACAGAGAAAACTGAATAAAAGATTCAAACATTTTAGGAGGTATAAAAATTCTACAGTAAAATCAGAAAGGTGACATCTCCAGTTGCCAGGTTCAGAGCACTACTTCCTCACAGAACTATGCACCGCATGACAGATGTTAGTTGGCAGTAGTTTTATGAGCACTTTCCACACTGGTTAAAGTTATTTTATTCTGTCAAACTAAGATTTATAGAAATTCCCAACTTTAACTGAAGGTTGCAATTTAAAAATCTGAGGGACTGAGAATAAGAAATTTAGAGTAGTTTCCTCAAAAAAACCCAAACAAACAACACCCTCCCCCTCTGAAGAAGCTTCCCTTGCCATCATAACTCACAGGGATATGGTTTTATTGTAAAGTATAATTAAAAAGAAAAAAAAAAGTGTATAAAAAGTGCAATACACTCTACACATGCCTGCCCTGATTCTCCTCCAAAGCAAAGCGACATGCTTCAGCAGGTAACTGATACTAACCACAGCTGGCTATACGTATTGAGCAGCTAATTTGGCTTGTAAGCTGAAGATGACAGGTAAATACACTGGTTTCTGGTCTCAATTCAGAAGGTTCATTTGGTAAAACAAGGTTCTGTGGCTCAGGACTGCCGAACGGCATGAAAATAAATAGCATCTATGGTCCAATAAAATACAGACACACTGATAGACGACTGGTGTTGGTTCTTCTATCAGTATATACAGTAAGAGAAAGTAGTACACGTTTCCCTCACTTTATGCTGCACACGTTCCTGGAAAACAGCGCATAACTCAACTTTGTAAAGTGGGTTCCCTTTGTGCGATGTAACAAATAGGGATACGTTCCAAGACCTCGATTGTACCGATCCCCAGACCCATTTCTACCACTTTTACACAACACTTTTGGTAGTCAACAACAGCAGACAGTACACACAAGCACAGAGTAGTAGTGAATGTTACCATAATGGGGATGGCAACTACAGGAACACATGTTGCAGATGAGTGGGAAGCACAGATCCACATAGGAGACTATATTTTGGTGTGCATCACTCCCACAATGCACTGCGCGAAGTACCCAACTGTGGGCTTCAACTACACCAATTGCATAAGAGAGAATTTACCTCGCACATATCCAATTTTTGTTATAAGTAGGGTCATTGCATGAGAGCAAATTTGCACATACAGAACCTGCATAAAGCAAGGGAAACCTGTATTTTGTAGCTTGTAATGGGAGCATGGAAAAAGCAGGCTTAAGGCAACTTCTAGTTAGATAAATGGACAAGGCAGCAAAGTTAAGAAAGGTCATTTGATGAACTTTCACAACAATTTAAAAATGTTTTAAATAGAAGTCAGCAAAGTCTGCAATGGAGTATTTTAATTAAATTTGCAACTTTCCCGAAAAGTTGGATATATGATAGTGTGGAGAACTCCCATAAGTCTCCTTGAGACTTTTTTTAAAAGGAGAGAAATGCTATTGAGAAGTCCATTTCTGCCTAGAACATACTGCATGCTCTAGAGAAAGTACTTGCAGGAAAAGAAAAAAAACCCCTCATCTTTACCAAAACGCACAAAAGTAGTTTAATAGAAATATTTCAATGAAATGGAAGCATTAGGTACTACAATTTTTTGAACTGAAACTCCCTTATCCAAGAGCCTGAACTTTCTCCACTGTAAGTTAAAAGTTTCTGAAAATCACTGAACCATAATTAAGTTTCATAGATTTCATAGACATTAGGGCTGGAAGG